TTCAGATGATGACGATATCGGAGATGAGTCTGACACCACTGAATATAATAGTAATAATAACGACGATGTGGATCCGGAGGATGATGAGGATGCATTGGAGAGGGAGATGATGGCAGCTTTTGAGGATGGGGAGGGGGAGGGGGAGGGGGAGGGGGAGGGGGAGGAAGATAGAGGGGATGGAGGAGGGCCAGGGGCATAGTTAAGGAGGAAGAGAAACAAAGGGGCCGGCTCGGTATGATTGTTTATCTTTTGTGAAGATTGGATGAAGTAAGGGTGAAGGGACTCAACCACTGAGCTTCTTTTCACTCCTTCGGGCCCTCGTGTGGAACAAACACCCGTCCCTCATCCTCATCGTTTTCCTGAAACCGACTCATTTTGCTTCTCAGACGTGTTTTGCTTTTTGCTTTTTGCTTTTTGCCTCTCCTTTTTTTTGTTCCTCCTCCGATTTCGTCGAAATCCCCCCAAACTCTTGTCGTCCTGCAGCATCCATCCTTGAATCTGCCTATCCAACTATCAAACAAGCAGCATAGCGAGGCGTCCGGTTTTCTCATTTTCGTTTCACCGGCCCCCCCCCCAATCCACCAATCCAAATTTCAGAGAGAAATATGTAAATGTATAGCTAGCAGCTGCTTTTCACAGCAGTGGTTCCCTTTGATGATAAATTTATATTTTACTTGTGTGCGTACAGGCAAAAATGTTGGGCGGTTACCTGCTTACACATATACATGCATTCATACATTCACATGCACGTTCCCGCCATCCAATTTTTTTTTTTTTTTTTTTTTTTTTTTATTTTTTCCAAAATACCCCTTAAACCCCCGTTCCCGATCCCCTTTCCCAATTTTCTTTTAGGGGGGGAGGGCCCTCTGGTAATCTAAATTGGTTTGAGAGAGCCAGGATTTTTTTAAAATTTATGGGGATTTGTTTTTTTCCAGTGTAGTTTTGTGGGGGGGCCAACATCGGTGGTGGTTGGGGGGGGGGGGGATGAATGTTATTCTATATTATTCTACATTGTCACACATTATTGAAGTTAAATACTGCTTATTTAGATGATTTTGATGATATATGTGAGTACAACTGCTCAATTTACTGAACATCTGATCTTTTTCATCTGTACTTTTACAAAAAAAGTTATAATACAAATACAGCTGCTCTGCTCACTGAACAGGTGTCATATTTAAGCTGAACTTTTAAAAAAAGTAGAGATCTGTACAAAAAGAATCAAGTACACACAGCCACACTGAACAGGCTCTTAACAGTCAATCATGGCATTACAACACATTTCCCATCTCACCGTTATCGGGAGTGCGCTACTGCTTGGGAGAAAGTCGAGATCATATACCTTAACAATCCTTCCTTTTTGAGCAA